CAACATCTAGATGGACCAGACCTAGCCTGCAGAATGTTGGTGGTGACTAGTAATTTAATTCCCCTCCAAGCTGTGTGGAGGATAGGCTTTCACGTTATCTTCCCTCTGGCCACAAGTCTGGGCACCACCTATTGAAGATGGTTGCTCTGGAACAGCTTCAGAAGGAGCCAGAACACCTAAGTCAGAGTTTGGGGGAAGAGCCACCTAAGAAGAGTTGCTAGATCAAGAAGGATCTGAACCCTGGGTAACAGAAAAAAATTTGTGTTAAGACATTGCATTTTGGGGAGATTTTGCTAGTGTAGTTCACCTACTCTGACTAAATGGTAAAATCTAAACAGATGCAACTGTACATTTGCTTGAGATCTCAGATTCTTAGAATAATAATGGCAGAGGGCCACAAGGCCAAGAAGGCTCAGCAAAAGCTATAGTTTGGACCTTAAACTGTCCCCCAAAGGCCCATGTGTTAAAGAGCTGGTCCCAGTTTGACACTGTTGAGAGGTGGGAAATTCTTAAGGAGTGGGATCTAGTGCAAAGTTTTAGGTCACTGGGGACATGCCCTAAAAGAGGACTGTGGGAACCAGGTCTCTACTCTTCGGTATTGCCGTCATGAGTGGAATGGCTTCGTTCCACCACATGCTCCCACTGTGACATGCTGTACCCCCACCAGAGATCTAAACAAAATGTGTCTATTCAATCATGGCCAGAAACTTCCAAAACTGTGAGCCAAAATAAATCTCTTTTTTTTTTTACAAGTTGATTTATCTCAGGAATTTGTTACAGTAATGGAAAGCTGATTAGCCCAGCAAGAGAGGCAGAAAAACCCAAGAAGGAGAATTAAGTTCATTTCCTGGGTCAGCACCTCTGAAGTATCTGCTCTTAGAAAAATCACTTCATTTTTCTGAAGCAATAAGGAATAAGATAGACAGCTTGGACATCCATAGAGCCATTTAAAAAAAAAAAAAAAGTCGTAAGCAGTGAAAATTGCAAACAATAAGTTTGCCATACTGAAAAATGAGCAAACTAGCAATGATAAGATGGCTATATAGCACTCTTAATACTGTGTAATCTTTCATCTGGGAGATAACCTAGAGAAAAGAATTGCAATGATAAAACCCATAGAAATATCCAGCTTTCAGGGGAAAAGGATGAGATTAAAAAAAAAAATCAGAAAACAGAAACGAAATAAGAGAAGGAATCAAAGAAGGTAAAACTGATTTCCAAAAGGAGTTGAAGTTTGTGGATTTATTTGTAGTTTTTAACACCTAGAAGTTAGAGATGACACAGAAAATGTTTTGACGACCTGAGAAATTCATTCATTCCTTTGTTTATTCAACACTTTTCCAGCAACTAATTGGTGTTCAGGCCCATGATGAGTACCAGGGATGAACTGTAAACAGATAGTGTTCTATCTTCTTGGAGCTCACTGTCCTAAAAAGAGAATAAATAATCACAATCCATAACATCATACCGCACTGGATGTCCTAATGGCAGAAGCTTAATTTTCTTTTATTCAAAAATGCACCAAGATTAGCAGAGGAAAGAAAAAAGAAAAACCCATTTCCCTCCCACTATAACTGTCTTTCTAAATTCTATTTTAGCAACCTGAAAGGGACAAATTGGCTGAAGAAAGAGAAAATTCTAAGTCTTTACCAGACCGTGACAAAAATAGGGCTAAATAATTATTTCTAAGAAAATGAAATTACTTTTTTATCACCATCCACTGAATGGCTTTCCCAATTGTCCCCTGTAAGTCCATAATAGCACTCGTTGCAGAACGCACCATTCCTGACAATAGACGATACAACCGAAAAAAATTAGTCTCCTGTGTGCAAAATAACACTTTCACAACAATGGGCAATTCAGGCCTGCTCTCTCTAGACCTTTGCCGCAAAGAATACCAGCGCAGGCTAATTATATGAGCTAGCTGAAAATTGTGTGCGTAATGGAAAGGCAACCCCCTAAAGAGTAGCTGAGAAAAGGTCTTCCCATCAAATACAAAACAACAGGGGGAAAAAACCCAAAGAGCAAACAGGACAGCATGTGCCTGGGCATTCTCATTAGCATACTGCCCTTAGCCACTGCTCTTGATGCACACAAAGGAGTGGTCAAATTCCCTGCCTTGAAAAAGAGGCCATCCGTGATAAGAGAAGTCACCCGGAGGATGACTGAGTGCTTTGTCACATGGGCACACATGGATCATTCTTATGTTGAAGACCATCGTCACTTTGTGGAGCAAACTTTGTTCATGTCAATGAAAGAACTGAACAGAATCAAAGGCAAGTGTCAGGCTGATGTGCACACTGGGCGAGCACTGACCGGGGTCCACAGGGTATGCTGGAGCAAACCCCTACTGTTCCCAGTTGTACTTTCCAAGCCTCCTTCACATCTGATGGGTGAAAGGTAGTACAAGATATTTGGGAGAAGAGTCACTCAGGGAAAGTTGGACTGGGTCTTGTAACACCCACATACCCAACAAACAATAGGTCCAATACAATCAAAACAGACGTAAAGCACCATCATGTAGCATGAGCTCCAGACAGTCTATAGCAATCTGGGGTCCAGGCGGGAACCACGGCCAGCTGAAACCGTGGAATTTTTTTATTTGTTTATTTTAGATTTACAAGACAGTAGAGTGTGTTTTGACAGATTATACTTACATGGACTACAATCCATTTCAATTAGGATCCCATTCTTGTAGTTACACATGATTTGGAGTTACACTGGTCGTGTGTTCGTGTATGAACATAGGAAAGTTATGTCTGAATCATTTTATGTCTTTCCTATTTCCATCCTCATTCCCTTCCTTTCATTCCCATTTGTCTAATCCAATGAACTTCTCTTTTTCTCCTCCCTACCCTCTCTTCAGCCTTTGGTTTGGGGGGTTGGCTTATTTCACTTAGCATGATAGTCTCCCGTTTCATCCATTTACTGGCAAATGCTATGATTTCATTCTTCTTTGGGGCTGAGTAATATTCTGCTGTGTATATGTACCATGTTTTCTTTATCCATTCATTTGTCAAAAGGCACTAGTGCCCATCAAACTGTGGAATTTAAGAAGGCCTTAATGAGGGACTATTCCCAAAGGTTTGGGCAGGATGAAGGACTATTAATAACTAATCCCTAAATTGGAGAGAGAGAGAAAAAAAGAGAATGAAAGTAAGGGGCAATAAAAGAACAGGAGGGGGAAAAAGAGATTGAATAAAAGTCATGGCCTTTTATCCCCCATAACTTCATTGAGGATGACACCAGGAGAGAGCTGTTTTACCTTCTTGTCTCTCTCTAATTTCTTTCTCATGCACCAACTTGGTCAAATCCAAAGATAAAAGGATGTCAAAAGAGCCCAGAGTGGGGCTGGGGTTATGGCTCAGAGGCAGAGGGCTCACCTAGCATGAGTGAGGCACTGGGTTCGATTCTCAGCACCCAATATAAAGAAATAAAATAAAGACCCATTGACAACTTAAAAAATATTTTTTAAAAAAGAGCCCAGAGCATACTGATGAAGTCCACTTAGGCCAATGTTTCTGGGCAAAGACAAAGACTATCCCACAGGGAAGGGGGGTAGGGCATGGGTGGGGTAAACAGAGGGGACTCATCACAATGGGATCTTTTATCAAGATTAGAGCTCATACAAAAATGCTAACAGGTCTCTCCTTCCATCATAAAGGGAGCCAATTTACAGGCCTGCATTGTTGAACTGCACTAATTCAACTCAGAGCTCAAACCCAGCATGAAGCATTATAATAAATTCAAGAGTCTGGGTAGTCAAGAGGTTCAGACAGAGAGGCCTGGGACACCAAGGGTGGCCATTCCTGTCTTGTCTTCCCACACTGGGTCCGACCTAGAACAGTAGGTGGTATCTCTGAGTGAGGTTCAGGGGATTCTTCACACAGCAGAATTTAAATTAGGAAACATTTGTTGCTTGTACCCAAGGAGTTTCATAGCCCATGTGCCATTCTCCAGGGGCACCTGCCTCCTGGGTCATGGGTTCCATTTACTATAAATGCTACCTTAGCCAAAGGTCAGCCTTCTAAGGACAGTTGAAGAATAAGGCGTCTTCCTTCAAGGAAATGTTCTAAATCTATTTTCCTAGAATTTCAGTTGAAAAGCAGGTTAGATGAGGTTACTTACTTTGGTTTCATTTCCTCTGGTATCAGCCTCCCATATCCCCAGGGAAGGAAGTGAACAGATTACTGGGGGCTGCTTCAACTCCTTCCTCCCACAAGCACTAAAGCACTATTTTCTATATTAGAAAAGGAAGTGTGTGTGTGTGTGTGTGTGTGTGTGTAAGAGAGAGAGAGAGAAATATGGAGGAGGAAGGACCCCTGGATGATGAAATCAACTATACCTCTTAGCTAAACACGCTTCTAAATTTGTCAAACAAGCGTACAGAAAAATGAATCTCAGATTACTTTTTTCATCCATTTACTGGCAAATTAAAGGCATAGCCAAACGCCCAGCACCAAATGCACATCCTTTGTCCAACATTGTTAGACTCTGCTCTTTCCAGGTACCATCAAAACTCATCGGAATCTCAAGCCAACAGTGGCTCTTGCTATGTGTGAAGCAAGGAGCTGGATTCACTTGCCCTCAGGTTGAAGAGGATATAGATTGCAGACTGTAAACCAAAGCGGGGAAGTCAGAGAGGGCTGCGGCTGGGAATGGGGATGTACCACTAACCCGAAATTATAACCAAAATTCATACAAGGAGGCATTTTTCTAGGATCGTGTCCAGGATGCATATCATATTTTCAAAAGGATTGATGGCCTTTAAAATAACTACACAGTATTTCTTAATAAGTGCAGATTTAGGGACAGATAAGTTGAGGTCCATCTCCAGAGTGTGACCCATTTGGTCCCTGGTCCATCCTTGTCACCAACAGGAGCTACTCAGAGCCCAATGTCAAGCCTGAACATGAACAGAGTCTTATTTTCTAAATGATTTCAGAGATGTTTGGGGATGCATATTTAAAATTAAATTAAACGTGAAGAGTGGAACTTACCTTTTCGTTCTGTTAGATAAAGAATTGAGGTCAGATTGCAGATTTTTGCATTTCTCTGTCAGTTGGAGTGACTTCTCATCCAGATATGTGCTGTTTCATGAAAGAGATTAAAAGAAAAGATTGATTTAAAATGAAAGTATATAAGATATTGTTAGTCAAAATCAGATTTAACTGATAAAGGGCATCTAAATGAAGTCTGACTTTCATTCTATTATTGGATTTCTCCAGGGAGAAGGAAATTGATATTTTCACCTCTGAGGAGTCTAAATTAAAAAAAAAAAACAAACAGTTTACACTATGAAGTAAAGCTGCAAAAAAAAAAAAAAAAAAAGTAAAAAAAAAATCTTTGTTGAAGATGTCATATTTCCAGGTTTTCATATTTTGAGGTTAATATTTATAATGAACAGGATACTACTAAACAGTTTTAATTACCACCTATGTAAATAGTGTTTATTTTAAAAAGATGTTGTCTCAGGTAGGAAGCATGCAGATCCAAGAGATTAATAGTTCTTGACTAAAGAACATGGGTAAAGCTGGCCTTGTAGCTGTGATATAAGGGCCTGGTGCTCTTGCTTTATGAACTTGGAAAATTAAGGCAGAACAAAACCAAAAGCAGACTAAGGACATGGGTTTTGGAGCCTTGGACACAATGAGGCGCCTGGACATGGGCATGTTATTAAACTGCTCCATGAATAGGTTTCTGCGTCTCTAATGCAAAGATAATGGTCCTCACTTCACAGTGTTATTGCCATGATGTATACATCCTACACAAAGCATTGTAAAACACCTGACACCGTGCCTCAGACAAGCAGGAGCTCATAAAATACAGTATCACCTTCACCAATGCAGGTGGGCATCACCCCAGTCCATTGAGGGCCAGATAGAACAAGAGAGAAGGAAGGATAAATTCACTCTCTTTTCTGGAGTTGGGACATACAACTTCTCTTGTCCTCCAATATCGGTGATTCTGGTTCTCAGGCTGTGAGATCTAGACTGGGACTTATGCCAGACGATTCTTGGGTCTTTGGAGCCAGAATGGAATTTCCACCAGTGGCCCCCTTTGTTCACAGGGATTTGGCCTGAACTACACACCATCAGCCTTCCAGGGTCTCTGATTTGCACACAGCTCATCATGGAGCTTCTTTGTCTCCATAATCAGAGCGAATTCTTCATCATAAATCATTCTATATAGCTATATGTGTTCTATTGGCTCTAACACATGGACTCAAATTATTTCAGTCTTGCTATATCTTTGTTTTAACAATATGCTTCAATAATTGCTGTGGAAGGACAAAGTGCTAGAAGGTCTGACCCTGAATCTGAATGTCTGGGCCCAGAGGTAAGATGTATCATTGGCCAGAACCAATGCCCCATATGATGGCAAGGTGAGAAACAGAAAAAAAGCAACCTTTCTGCGTGCCCAGAGAAGAAAACCTGATATAGGTATGCACTGGAGACTGCACCACACCTGTGTTCATCAGAAAGAAGAGAAGTAGGCAAACATGAGATCTATTCTGGAGGTAAGGCAGGCAATTTCTCATAGTATATTGCACGTGGGAGGTGAGGGAGAGGGAGGTATAAAGGTAAAGATATAAACAAGACAGATTCATAATTAATTCTCCAATATTTCTCAGAAATGCTTTCTAAAAATATTGGGTCAGTGTACATATGGGCTCACAAAATCCCTCTTAATCCTGTTATGATTTCTTTCCCCACCACTTTCTTCCTCTCTCTCTCTCTCCTTCTGTCTCTATGCCTCACCTTTTGTGCTTTCTGGATATATTATAATACTTTCCAAGGATTTGTTTATTTCTAATTTGCTCTATGTTTTATTCAGGCAGCACCATTAATGAAGTGAATTACCAAGCTAGCAGTGCTTTGAATTATGATGGCTTTATAATATTAGATTGTGAAGCTGTGACAACCAGGCACCAATGTAATTATGTCTTCTATACCTTTCCTTAAATTGGAGAGTATCTTCCTTTATAAAAACTCAAAATAGGTTTGCCCAACTAAAAAATGGAGGGGATACATGGAAAGCAAAATAAGAGTACCTGGGGTAAAAGTGGAGATGACAGAATGCAGTCATGGGGAGAAGACAACTCCCTCGGTGGGGCCAGCCTTGCATCTGGGTTCCACTCTGACCTTATTAGCCTTTCAGCTTAATGGTTGCCTTTTTAAAATTCCTCCTCCATAAAGCAAAGAGATTAAATAGGAGGTGTGTAAAAACAACTGACACACAAAAATCAATCAATAAATTTTGTGTTCTCATTCTTCTAAATTCATTATAGTGTTCCTCCCTTGAGTCAATCATTGTTAGTACCACTGAGTTTGGAAACTGCCCATATCTATAGGAAGTCATTTTATAATGAGAGGAACGCACAGGGAAGCCCTTTATAGTTTATTTGCTTTCTGTGCCTCTCTTGTCTCCTTTTCTTTCATAATCTTCAGAGTTTTCTTCCTTTTCATCTGAAGTCATTCAAACGTGCTCAAGAAAAAGAAAACTACTCAGTTCTGAGCTGGAAAAAGACAGGACCTGTGGGCGGATGGATGCCACTTGAGAGGTTGGCACACTCTGCAGAGGAAGACATTAGGGTAAATTCCCTTTAATTTCTGTTTGGGGAATGTCTCTCAGTCAAATCAAAGGCCACAGAAGTTGACTGACATGAAAGTAGGAACTCCAAAGACTCAGAATCAGAGTTGTACAGAGGTTGCCACAGGACAAGAGTGGGCTGATCAGTAACCCTAGGAAGGGTTACCAGAGATCAGGTCAGAATGGCCCATCCAAAAGGGCTGGACATCAGAAAGAACTCTGTAATGGTTAGCTTGAATTGTCGACTTGATTGGATTAAGAGATGCCAAGGATTAACAAGCTTATGCGTGTGTCAGTGAGGGTATGTTTAGGAATGATTGGCATGTGGGATAGCCAATTAAAATGGAGACCCTTCCAAAGCATGGGCAGCACTGTCCAATAGGATGATGGCTTGAATGGAATAAAAGTTGGAAGAAGAAGGAAGTAGCAGCAGATGCAAGCTCCATTCTTCATGAATGGTTTCTGGATTGCTGGTGCAATCATCTGAGGATATCAGACTCTTGCTTTTTCACCCTTCCAAAGCTGACTCTAACAATGATTCTCCAGAAGCCTTTGGTCTTGAGCTAGGGTAGCACCATTGATCCCTCTTGTTTGGGGGCTGCAGCCTCTTGGACTTTGCAGCTACTGATTCGTGCAGCTCTCCAGCCCACAGACAGCATTGTGGACTATCCAGATTCTAGTCACATAAGCCAACCTAAGAAGCCCCCTTTTTATAATTATACTTCCTGTGGATTCTGTTCCTCTAGAGAATGCTGACTAAACAAACTCGAAAGGGTCCAAGATGCATTCACAGAGGTGGGGCCCATCACAGACTGCTGCCAGGAAGCTCTTTTCAAATAGAAGTCCAAGATATGAATGGAGAGGGATCCTCTCCACCTCCCCCTGCTTAAACTAGCTCAAGTCAGTGGTCTAAGCAGTTGAGTGCTGGGAGAGAAACTAGAACAGGACTCAGGAGTGCTACCAGGTATACTCTAACCAACCAAAACCCTGGGACTATACTAAGTAGGCTGAAAGTAAGACATTTTTCTTTTCTTTTAAATTTTCTGCTTCATTCCAATTTTCTGGTTTAAAAAAAAAAAAAACTTTCTTAAAACTTGCCAAATTAGCTAAGCCAGAGAAAAAGATCAGCTCATATATGCACTGCCAAATCCTACAGTGAGAGTGTCTCCCAAAAGGACAGGTCATGGAAGGGACAGTGGTCCTCCTGCTGGAGATCTGCTAGGGAGATAGAGCAGGTTAGCACCTGAAGCCTCCCAGAGCAGCTATAACTTTTCCACCATTGCTTCCTTAGTTGTTCCACTATGGGATCCTGATCTCTGCCACGTGTCACTGTGCAAACTTCCCTGCCTGCCCATGTGTAGCATTCCTTGCATCTTACCATACTCTCAACTCCCAGTTCATTGAAATCCTCTCACATCCACCTTGCAAATATGCAGTCATGGTACAAGATGGCTTCTGGCATAAGATATTTGCATGCCTGACCCTGACCGCTTCTAGAAAAATATCAGACAGGTGGATGGGCTGGTGTCTTGATAAATGGTGTCCAAATTGTTAGGCCTTTTGTATACCTTAAATAATGATTCCAAATCCCAGTTCTCTCAATGGCTACCCGATACCTTCATAATTCTATTGCGTTCGCCCATATTCTCTGCTGTCCCAACTTCTCATTTAATCATACTTCCTGTGTCAGAGAAACATGACGCTTCTGGGTGTGAATGAATCTTCAGCAGTCAGTCATCCTGAACTTCCATATCAGAGAAAGAAGTGTCTCCCCTCTCAAATAAGGATAATCTACCTGCTACCCATCCTCTGTCTGCACTGAGGTCAGGCCCTTCTCTGAACTGGACCTCTACACTCTCCCTACTCCGGTCTTCTTCTTATGCTCAATTTTCTACCATTTCAAAATCTAAGGCAAGATAATTCCATTATGGCTTAGCTCATGTGTTGAAAGCATGATCCCCAATGCAGCAAGGGTCAGAAGTAGGGCTTTTAAGCCATGATTAGGGTTCTGACCTCATCAGTAGATTAACCTATTTATTGGATTAATTCACTGATAGCTGAATGGTAGTGCACGGTGACTACAGGCATGTAGAGCATGGATGGAGGAAGTAGGTCACTGGGGGCATGCCCCTGGAAGCTATATCTTGTCCCTGGATTACTGGCACTCCATCTCTCTCTCCCCCCTTGCTCCCTCTTCTTCTCCCTCCCTCTCCCCTCCCCACCTCTCTCTCTCTCTGCTTCTAGGTCACCACAACCTGAGTAGCTTTCCTCTGCCACACTCTTCCACTATTATGTTCTGCCTTACCTCAGGCCCAGAGTAATGGAGTTGGCTGACCATGGACTGAGACCTCTGAAACTGTGAGCCCCAAATAAACGTTTTCCTTTTCTAAATGGTTCTTATCAGGTATTTTGGTCCCAGTGACAAAAAGCTAAATAACACAAATTCACTCTGCTAATCTATCTCTTGCCTTGCCTCTCATTCACAATGCAACCTACC